GTTATTGTCAACAGGTGTGGCTAATAGCCAGCCCTTGTATTTCAAGAATAGAGAAGTAGGTGTGTTTTTACCTCAAACAAAGTCTAAGGATCCAACTAAGGGTCCAGTTCCTTTATGGAGATAGCACTGATTTCCCCCCTGGGAGTGGTTTGCCTACAGAATGTTTTGGTCTAGGGTGTGAGCAGGACTCGTTTTGTTCTAACAACAGAATGTTTAACTACTGGCCTGTTCATTTCCTTGCATCATGTTAAGGCAGTTTTTTTTTTCTTCTACCTTTTGTGGTCAGGGGTATTTTAAGCAACTGGAAATTAAACGCGGGCGAATTTCACTACTCACTGGAACGCCCTCCCAATACTATTCTATGTTTCTCTGTTTTACTATTTTCATCCGTGTCTTCATACTCTTTACTGTATTTCTAAATCCCCGCGCCTCTACCCTGGCGAGAGGGATTTTTGTCAAGGCTGCTCCCCAACACACATGCTTCAGTGAGACCAGATGCTGGGGTCAGAGGAAGATTGAGGGTTAAAATGGCAACACCTAGAGCACTGAGGAAGATGGATGTGGTTGCTTGTAGCCAGATATGAGATAACCAAGCTAATCAGGAGATGAGGACAGAGTCTGGACCAATGACAGCAGGCAGGCTGTCCCCCTGCCCAAAGACCTGAGGCATTACTGTCCTTCCATATGTCCTTATTTCTGAAGCAACTAAGCAATAGAGCAAGCAGTAGGACTTTCATCTAGGAGAGAACGCCACAGACAAGGAGCTAGATGTGGGGTAACCAAGGGAGACGGCGGCTGCGTCCTGGAGCGGGGACGGAGAAGCTCCAGGTGGACGGTGGGAACACAGCCGTAACCAGAAGCCAGCAGACACCGGCAAGGTGGGGGAGGGCAAAGTGGAAGGGCCCAGCTGCAGACACTGAGGTCAGCACTTACCAAGGCACGAAGATAGAGAGCATGGGGCCTCCACTGGCTGGGGCCTCCATAGAGGCCCAGGGAGTAACCAGTCTCACAAGTAGTCACCTCAGCTTTTGTCCAGTTTTTGCCATGGTCACATCCCCCAGACAAGGAAGTTAATGGTTGTTTTTCTCTTAGAAACCGCTCTCTGGAGAGTTTCTCTCATTTTTAACTTCTCCTTAGTAAAGCTTGCCTCCATCATTGCTGACTATGTCTGTGCCAAGAAAGGTCCTTCCCACTCATACCCCTGCTCCACAGAGTCTAGCACAGCAACAGTAATGGTTAACATGTCCAGAGTCCTTCCAGCTCATAAAACATGTGCAACACGGATGCTTCATTGAATCACTGAGAAATTAATTCTACTAAGTGAAACCAAGCTCCCAATTGAGATGGCAGAAACTAAGATTATCTTGGGTCTCCTTATCCACTCCCTTCATGCCAGCATGGACTCAGACATCTGATGAGACTCTTCCTGCTTCCTGTTTCTTAAAAGGGGCAAGTCTACAGGAACAAACCTCAATCCACACAGCTGCCACGAAGGCAGGCAGGCATGGACTACACAACCTATGTCTGGGAGCCTCCGAGGTGTTGCCTGTGGAAGGAGATCTGCACGGCAGGACTACAGTGTGATGCCTGACTTGAGACTGCTCAACCTCGCCGCAGGCCCAGACACCCACGTTGTTCTGGTAGCAAGACTTTCTAAGGTGTAAGCTATACCTACAAACCATCTTGCTGGGAATCACTGCCTCCTTTGCAGGATCTAACCCAGGGACAGTCTGATCTCCACTCTGTGACAGTTTTCCATGTCACTACCTCTGTGTGTGTGTGTGTGGGGGGGGGGGGGCTCTGGCCAAGCTTCTCAACTATTCTTGTCATCTTGGCCTTTTTGTAAATAGAATTCTTTGAATTCACCTTTAAGTTCACAAGGTTACATGTCTTGTCGATCCACCTTCCGCCCTCAATCCTAGTCCAATGATTTAAAATCCAAATTCACATGAGAGCCAGTCACAGTGATAAACATATACAGCCCCTAAAACCTAAGGGCAGGACTCTTGGAGCCTTCCCCAGGCAACACGGCAGGAACCCATGTAAAAGAAAAGAAACAAAAACCCCACAGGCTCAGCAGTTAAGAGCTCGTCCTGAGGACCTGGGTTCAAGACCCAGCATCTATATGGTGGCGGATCCCCATCTATAACTCTAGACCCAAGGGATTCAATGTCACCTTCTGGCTTCTGTGGGTACTATACACATTTGGTACACAGACATATACACAGGCAAAATACCCATATGCATAAAACAAATAAAGGAAAAAAATTATTTTTTGAGACAGGGTTTCTCTTTGTAGGCCAGGCTGGCCTCAAACTCACTGAGATCCTCCTGCCTCTGCCTCCCGAGTGCTGGGGTTACAGGAGTGCGCCACCAAGACTGCCAGGGAAAAAAAAATTTTTTTTTTTGATACAAGGTTTCTCTGTAGCTTTGGTGCCTGTCCTGGAACTAGCTCTTGTAGACCAGGCTGGCCTCAAACTCACAGAGATCCACCTGCCTCCGAGTGCTGGGATTAAAGGCGTGTGCCACCCCCGCCCAGCAGGAAAAAAATTTTTAAATTCAATCATTCTGGGGGCTGGAGAGATGGCTCAGTGGTTAAGAGCATTGCCTGCTCTTCCAAAGGTCCTGAGTTCAATTCCCGGCAACCACATGGTGGCTCACAACCATCTGTAATGAGGTCTGGTGCCCTCTTCTGGCCTGCAGACATACACACAGACAGAATATTGTACACATAATAAATAAATATTAAAAAAATATTTAAAAAAATTCAATCATGGGCTGGAGAGATGGCTCAGTGGTTAAGAGCATTGCCTGCTCTTCCAAAGTTCCCAAGTTCAATTCCCAGCAACCACATGGTAGCTCACAACAATCTGTAATGAGGTCTGGTGCCCTCTTCTGGCCTGCAGGCATACACACAGACAGAATATTGCATGCATAATAAATAAATAAATATATATTTTTTAAATTCAATCATTCTTTCACAGCAATGTGACTTAGGCAGAAAAAAAATGTCATCTCAAACCTAAGTAGCTGGATAGGTTTGAGTTCACCTGCTTAGGCTAAAATATCCTCTGCACTTTGTCTTCCCACTAATACATCCCTAGAACAGAGCAGGGGCCGAGCAGCATGGCCTATTAGTGCACACAGACAGAGAGCCAAGGGGACCACTTTCTAGTCTAGTGCCCAGAGCTGGGGCTGGGCATCTCTCCAGGACAGCCGCTTGGCTCTCCTGACTCTTCCCTATCTACAGCAGGTCCAGAGGCCCTGGAGATGCTCTGCTTCTTGGGCCAGCAGGGGCGCCAGGGCTGTAAAAGGCATCTCCATGTGAAGGCAATTTCAGGTAAACTGGTTTTTAGAGAAGCTCCTCTCTTTTGGAGCTTTCAGACAACACTCAAGGACACGGTTCTTTCCAGAGTGTGAGTGCTGTGTGGCTACCTCCCAACCAAACACTCCCTTCTGGGGGGGGGGAGAAGCTTAGAAAGCTACAAGGCTGGTGCAACTCCCCTCCCCAAGGTTAGACAGGAAAACATAGTTGCCAGGAGGAAGAGAGTCTTCAGTAGAGCTGCTCCAAGCTGACTTGGAAGCCCTAGGGATGCTGGATGCAGTCTTGTGTGCTGGTGTGGGCTCCTGTAATACAGCTCCAATAAACTCACTAGTTCACTAAACGAGACCTGAATGTTTTGGTCTTTTGTTGGTATCCTAGCCCAAGTGAATGACATTATTTGTCTCCCATGATAACGAGAGGCAAAGAAAACACAAGGATAAATATCAGTGTAGAGAGGGCCTTGTCTAGTGGTCAGGTTTCTTTGAAAATCAGCCTGTGTGGCTCTGGGAAGCCATTTCAGACACGCAGAGGTGAATCCCAGCAGCTTGAGCAGCTGTGGGGTGCAGAGCTCCAGTAAGGCGAGCAAAGGCTTGAGATGGACTGACTGAGGAGAGAGGGAGAGTAACATCTGCACCGTGAATCAGTGCTGCTGCAACACGAGGGGCAAGAGAGCTGCTCATGTAAACCAAACAGCACAGCACTGTTACAAACCAAAGTCCTGTTAGCGTTAAAGAACAAAACAACACTGTAAAATACAGGTTACCACTGGTCAACATTTTAATTCACTTTAAACCAAAGAAACATTATTATATGCAGAACCTGTCATTTTACACATTAAAGTTTATCAGGTTAACAATACCTAAGCAAGGAATACCTGGAAACAACTTCCTCCTTGCTGAACCTCACATTATCAGAGTGACTCAATACCTTTCTGTAGTACTGCCAACAAAGCTGCCGTTCGGCTTTTTCTCTCCACCCTCTCCAGAATCACCAAAAGGTCAGCCACTGGGTAATAGAAAGTGACAGATTTCACACTTGACTGTTGGAAAGTGTTCCTCAAATAGAGAAAGCCACATCCTGCCATGCTGGTGGGTCAGCTCCCTTACTTGCAGTGCCTACCAAATAGTAAAATCACACGTTTGATCCGGACTCGAGGCCCACCAGCTCTAGAGCTTCTACAAGGCATTAAAGAGACAGCACAGGGTGAGACAGTTTCTAACAGCAGTCAAACAGCACTGTTTCTAAGGGTAAAGCGTGAAGAACAGACAGCACCATGTCAGGGCAGACAGCGGACAGAAATACACAGGGGCTTCCAGGCCACCCGGCCCACTTTCTGTCCTACTTCCTCTTGATGTTTATAGTTCAGTTTCACTTAGCTTTAAAGAGCCAGACTCTACTGTCAGAGCCTGAAGCTTTACTACGCTCTCACTTCCTCTGCACTACAGCTGAGAAATGTCACTGCTCTACTTAGAAATCATGGAATGGAAAGTGGCATTGGTACAAACCACAGCTTCTGCTCACTCACTCAACATGGATGGATGATTTCAAATTTCTCTTTTTATTAATAAAGGTAACTTTTTTTTTTAACAATTTACTTTTATTTTATTTTATTTATTTATTTTTTTTTTGGTTTCTCTGTAGCTTTGGTGCCTGTCTTGGAACTAGCTCTTGTAGACCAGGCTGGCCTCGAACTCCCAGAGATCCGCCTGCTTCTGCCTCCCAAGTGCTGGGATTAAAGGCATGCACCACCACCGCCCGGCAATAAAGGTAACTTTTAACAGTCTTAATTAAAATGAAATGTATCAAAGTTTCACAATTCCTAAATTTTACTTATCAGTATGATGGTGTATGTACATTTAAAATATTTTAGCACTACAAATGCCAGTGGCCTATATCCCTGCAGCACTACACACAACAGCACAAATTAAATCTGCCAGAAATTCTATTATTGACTCAAAATTTTTAAGGACTACAGTACAATTATGTACAGTGTACAAAGTCTGTCAAACTGAATATACATGGTCTTAGGCCATTACTACTATTTCATTCCAATTTGGATTTAAATATAATCAACTTACAGATCTGAAATAAAAGCACTGCTTAATGGTTTCAGATGCATTTTGGTATTGGATGTTTCAGGGCATAGAAATAATAAGACTGTACTGAAGTAATCTGTGTCTACAGCTGCTTGAGACAGCAGGATGAAATGCGACCTTAAATGTTAACTGTTAGCGACAAGTCTGCCAATTAAGAGTCCAAGCCACTCCTAGTTTAAAACAAGCAAAACTAATAGCACAGAGAACTTTAATATAACCTTAATGGTCTAACAAACCTTCCAAATGGAAGGAAATACAAAATAAAGTTCACACATCAATTTACCTTGTATTGGTACGTTTCAGCACCACAGATTTATCAGGTCAGGATGGCTAGCACTAAGGTTCAAAGGTCTCGGCAGCAGCCTGAGACACAGTGACAGAACTACGGCTATACTGATCCCTCTTTACGCTCTTTAACACTGATACTTCAGGGGTTCCCTTGCTAGAATGAGCCCAAATACCATTTCCTTGGAGATATAAAGCTAAACCAAATCAAGCATATTAGTCTCCTAGACACAGGCTCATATAGGAAGTATTTTGTTTACTAAACTGAAAAGTTAACTTTTAAAAATATCTGCAGTCTTTTTGAAATGCAAGGCACCAGCAGGAGCGTGCGTTCCAGCAAGGGTGACTGACGGGACCACGGAGCCCAAAGTCCTTCCTCTTCTGCTGATCACAATACTTCCTTTCCTGTCTATGCAACATCTTCCAGATAATCGGCCACGTCGCTGAGCTGGGAAACAGTCAGGTCTTGTGTGAGGTCATCAAGCTTTGTTGTCCAAAAGAAAGAGAAGAATCAGTGTACAACAAAGTCTGAATCCATCTGTCAGTGTATACTGCTATCATTTCTTTATCTTCTGTAACCTGCTTAGGAGGGCCACCCCTGGACGAGAGATGGCTACCAGGAGAACAGGGACACCGAGTGAGGACTTTGTGGCACTTACTCTCTTAGAGCTGTTCATTTGGCCCATTACTTCTTATTTTTTCCCCTTTGCATATAAGGAAATACTAGAAATAAAATTATTTTAAGTAAATCGCCCTTGTTCGAACAGTAGTCTTGGTATACAACCATCGGTACAAAAACAGCTACTGGAACCTTAAAGTCATACTTTTTTTAGTTAGTTTTATTCCCTTTATTTGATTTTTTGTTTGTTTGTTTTTGATGTGGGATTTCCCTCTGTATGCTGTGATTACCATTAATGAATAAAGGAACTGCTTTGGGCCTAAAGCAGAGCTATAGGGGAACAGAGTTAGGCGGGGAAAACTAATGGAATGGTGGGAGAAAGAAGGATGGAGTCAGGGAGACGCCATGGAGCTCCGCTGGAGACATATGCGGGAACTTTAGCCGGTATGCCACAGCCACGTGGTAATATACAGATTAATAGAAATGGGTTAAATTAAAATGTAAGAATTAGCCAATTAGAAGCTAGAGCTAATGGGCCAAGCAGTGTTTTAATTAACACAGTTTCTGGGTGATTATGTCGGTTCTGAGTGGCCAGGACGAACAAGCGGCCTCCCTCCTACATATTTGTTTTATTTTTTGAGACAGGGTTTCTCTGTGCAGCCATAGCTGTCCTGGAACTCGCTCTGTAGACCAGGCTGGCCTCGGAATCACAGAGATCCGCCTGCCTCTGCTTTCCTCCCTTGTGCTGGGATTAAAGGTATGCGCCAGCACCGCCCAGCCCAAGTCATTACAATTTTAAAAACGAAACTCAGAAAAGCCCACACACTAAGAAATAGATTAAGAATGCTACTTTGGATCTGTTATTTTTGACTCTCATCATTATTAAATAATGAACTCATTAAGGTATTGCATTTTATATGCAAAACAATTGAATGCCATATTAATGCTAGTTTTAGACTAGAGAAAAGAGTAAGGAAACACTATGGATGACAGTGATCTTTCATAATCTACAGTGGATATCAGTTAACTGAGGGGCTTTTAGTTTTGATTTAGAACAAGGGAAGACCACAGAACACAGGGTTGTGTTTTTCTTTCACACTGCATTGGTGTGCAGCTATGCTGCTGATGTCGGTTCTAATAGCTTTAAGGTGGATTCCTTCATTTTATACATATTTTCATCAAGTTGGCTGAAAACAACATCAATTTGATTTCTTCCTTCCTATTTGGAAGCTTACTCGTTCACTGGCCTGATTGCTCTGGCTAGGATCTCATGCACTGTGTGAAATCAAAGCAGTGAAAATGTTCAATATTGTCACAATTTGAAAACTGGCAGTTGTTCTTCAGAGTTCTCATTTCCCTCTCTCCCTCCCCTTCAGTCAGCGCACCCACTTGCTTCAGCTGCTCACTGATGAGGGAACCTTTATCTCTTTTGAAATCTGTGACATTACCAAGAGGCTGAGTTAGCAGCTGACCTTCACCATGAATTCCATCACAGATCTGAACAATCAATCCTCAGTGGTCTTCAGCAAGAGCTCAGTGTTTGGTTCTTATGGATGACAAGCGGTGGAAAGGTAAGAGGGGCAAACATCTTGTGTACACTGGGTGGTATTAGAGATGGCTTCTCACCTACTGTCACTAAGTAGTAATACTTCCACCTTAAAAGAAACCAAGATGAAGCTGAGCATGGTGGCACACAGCTTTAATCCCAGCACTCGGGAATTGGAGGCAGGAGGATCTCTGTGAGTTTGAGGCCAGCCTGGTCTATAGAGTGAGTTCTTTGACCACTAGAGACCCTATGTCAAAAAGCGAAACAAAACAAAACCCAACAAAAACACCCACAAAAGGAAACTGAGATAAAGGCTCATGCTTACCTATGACACCTAGCATCTGAAAGGTAGAGGCAGGAGACTTGTTTCAAGTTTGAGGCCTTCCTGAGCTACATACTGAGTTCAAGGCCAGCCTAGGATTTAAACCAGGATCCTATTTCAAGGAATCCAAACCAGAAAACAAAGACACTTAATATATTAAAAATGACACAACCCAAATTTTGCTTACTCATTTTAAAATACAACCTCTCTTGAGGGATCCCTCCTCATGTGACAATCTGAACCCAGCCTACTTCCACCTCATCTAGAAGGCAGCACACCCAGCTAGGCTGTGAATAACAGAGATGCCGCAGCTCATCTCTTCTCTATTGCGTGAAAAGCTCCAGTGTGGAATCCAGATGGAATCCTGGCTTTAAACCTCAAACCAAAGTCCTTTGCTATGCTGCCTCCCGCAGTTCTGTCTCAACCTGGCCTCAACTAGCCGAAGGTGGTCAAATGTCCCATAGATACAAGCTCACTTTAACTCTAAGTGAGACAGTTTTGGCTCTAGTCCTGATCCCTTGTGGCCACCCTTACCCCAGGCCTGTCAGAGTACAAATACTAAACAAAGGACAGCTGTGAGCCTCCCACACCCTTGAAGGTTTTCTTCAGACTTACAATAGGCAACTGTCACAAACTGTTTGCAATTTTCAACCATTTTTTTACTATCATATAAATTTACTAAGCCCCTTAGCAAATCGACAAATAAACAGCATACCCAAAGATGTGCTAGCACCTTACTTTATCACTGCTGTTAACGTCGTCTATGCCCATGGAAAGGTCTTCTTCAATTTCTTCACCAATACTTAATTCACTTTTTTCTGAGCGGTGGCTAGCACTAATTATAAGAGGGGAAAGATGAAAAAGAATTCTGAAGAATAATTGCTCAAATTTTCAAAGACTTTAATCCTACAAGTAACATATAACAACATTAAACATTGATTTCACTGTCATCTAAGAAAACTCACAAGGCAAGGATCTCTCAAATGTCACTCATCACACAATATTCTTACCTCCAAACACAGTATAATTTATTATTGTAATACAGTCAGAAATTTCTAATCAGAAAACTGTTAAAATTCTCAAGCATATAATTTAAATTTTCTCATCATATCTATAGCAAATATTACTTTCTTTTTAAATTTCTTTTTCTTTAATATTTATTTATTTATTTATTTATTTATTTATTTATTATGTATATAATGTTCTGTCTGTGTGTATGCCTGCAGGCCAGAAGAGGGCGCCAGACCTCTTTACAGATGTTTGAGAGCCACCATGTGGTTGCTGGGAATTGAACTCAGGACCTTTGGAAGAACAGGCAATGCTCTTAACCGCTGAGCCATCTCTCCAGCCCCCAAATATTACTTTCATATCACTAGGCAATTCATACAAGTTACCGCTAACAAAATGTTCATGTCACAGTGATGAAGACAGTTTTTTTTAAAGTCAAACACAGACAATGCCCACCACAAAGACAAAAGACACAAGAAAAATCAGGATAAGCTCCTGACTTGGTTTCAAATAACAGGTCAACCCTGACACCACTTCTTTATCTTACTCTTTACGGCTCTCCCACTACAGCACACACATTTGTCTGTGTTCTAATGTAACAAGTTGTCACTCCAAAACATAATTTTGGACTAGCTATTGGTGTGGGAAAATTCTGTATTCTGTCAATTATGTTTTAAATAAACGCTGATTGGCCAGGCAGGAAGTATGGGGGGGGAGGGGACAACCAGACAGGAAGTAGAGGTAGGTCAATTAGAGCAGAAGAATTCTGGGAAGGAGGAAGCCCATTCCTCCCCAGTCCTGTCCAGACACCGAAGAAACAGGATGTGACCTGCCCCACTGAAAAAAGTACTGTGCCATTTTAATATAGATAAAAATCATGGGTTCATATAAGTTACAAGAGTTAATAAGAAGTTTGAGCTAATGGGCCAATCAGTTTATAACTTATGGAGACCTCTTTGGGGTCTTTTTTCTTTGGGGCTAAATGGCTATGGGACCTGGTGGGAGGACAGAAACCCCAACAAGCAGCGCCCTCATGTTACAAGCTATCTGTCGGTTCTTTCAATCAAGTACAAAGTAAACCCTAATGTAATTGTGCCACACTCATATTCAGAAAGTATTTAGAAGATTCATGTATTCATCTCAAGGTTTTTCTTACCTATGAAAATCATCAACATAGTCTTCATCTTCTCCAGTTCCTGGTAATTTGTTTAAGAAAAGAAATACATTATTACACACTTACAGAAAAATACTTATTTTTTTTAAATAAGCGTTTCCTGCCAAAACATTACCGAATGATACTGATTCATGAAAACATTAAGTACCAAAATAGTGTTTAAAAAATTTAGATTTATTTATTTTTATATTCAGGAATATTTTGCCTGCATGTATTTGTATGTGTACCATGTGTCTGCCTGGTCCCAGAAGAAGAGCTACAGATGGTACTGAGCCATCATGTGGGCACTGTGACATGAACGTGGTTCCTCTGCAAGAGCAGCACAAACTATTGGCCACCAAGCCAATTTCTTCAGCAGAAAAAAATACATTGCAGTCATCTCTTTAGTAATACTTTTACCACATTAAATGAAGGGAAATAATAAATGCTGTCTAAGGATTCTACCACATGCTGGAAAGTGAAAACCTTATTTGTGTTCTAGGTTCAGGCAGGGGCTTACTCTATGAGGCTGCCTTGTGACCTGATGGGTGTGCGGCTCCATGGCAGAACACTTGCTCAGCATACTCATGGACCTGGGCTCTATCCTCATCACCACAAAAACAGAAAAAGGGACACACAACAGCATGGCACCATCAATTTCTCTTGTCACCTTGTTTCCAACTGCTATGACTTTCAACGCAATAGTCTGCTCACAATTTTAAAAACCATCAGAAGGTGTGAAGAGGCGATGGAGCATGTGGGCCCATCACCCGGAAGAGCCCTGGGTGCCCTCTCGTGGTCATGCCCAAGCACAAACAAGCCCGAACCACAAATTCTGATTTCACAGTATGATACACAAGAGGCTCCAAATGCAAAGTGGCCACACGAGGAGGAGCTGTTACTAACTCACAAGTGCCTCAAGCTTCCTCACACACAGGGCTCTGAAGGGAGCAAATTTACGACCTAACCTATATCTCTCAATGACAACTAACTGCAAATTAGCTGTTATTTTCATCCCATGACTTTTAGAGCAGTTGAGGAAGAGCGGGAAGGAATGGCTGTAGGAACGTTCATAGGGACAAAGGGGAGGCTGCCTGGGGCAGGAAAAACTCTGGCTGGAGAGTGAACTGCTCAAGGCTGCTGCCCATCACTGTTCTGGGTTCTCCAAAACAGAGGAGCAAACTTGAGGGGATTCAAGATCGAGGGGGGCAGAAAACTCTCTTATAGCATTTGATTATACAGTTGTCAAACTTTGGAGTGACGCTTCTTCCACAGACAGCAGTCAACAGTGAGAGAGAGGCATTAGGTTTCAGAACAAAAAAAAAGGTACCACAGTGGACGGAAACTCTGTGAAGGCAGTAGAGGCTCAAATTCCAGGAGAATATGTTTGTAGAGAAAGCCTGACAAAATGAAGGTGTTTGAGACAGCAGCAGAGGACAACCACCATGGAGCGGGAGGCGGGCAGGGCACAACAGAGTGGGCTGATACCCTTCTTCACAGACATGGGCTTTATGTGTATTGGTGTAAAGATGTCATATCCCCTGGAACAGGAGTTACAGACAGTTGTGAGCTGCATTGTGGTTGTTGGGAACCGAACTTGGGTTCTCTGAAAGAGCAGTCAGTGCTCTTAACCACTGAGTCATCTCTCCAGCCCAGTTTACCACTCTTGCTTTAAGCAGGCAAAGTGCCTGTTTATAACATTCCACTTGCAAACTTTTGCTTCTCCCATTACTACAACCATGTATATTTATGTAATGTACAGCATGTCTTAACATGTACAGTGTAAAATCACTAGCACTGTCAAGCTTATTAATGCACCAGGTCATGCGGTCAAGCATTTTTGCTTTAACTAAACTTTGTGCATTTAAGATCTACTGTCTTAGAGAATTTCAAGTGTGCAATACAACTAACAGTGGTCATCATGCTGGGTTTTAAACTCTAGAAGGGCTATCCACCTAACACAGCCTCACCATGTAGGCTGGCCTCTGCTTCCCTAATACTAAGATCAAAGGTCATGCCACCTGACCAGCTCATCTGCATACTCTTAATTATGCCATTTAAACTAAAGCAGACTGTGCTCTAAATTGAGTTTCCACTGGAATGGTATTTGCAGAATGTCCACGGATGACACAGTGGCTGACGGCCTGAGTGACACATGCAGACTCCAACAGCTGCTGCTCTTCATCCTCTTCTCTGGGTCAGAACAGGGTGGGAGGGGCACATCACTGACATCATCCTAACTGCATGAGCCCATATTCCTCTGAGCACCTGCAATCTTGTCATGCATGCTGTCAACAAGAACAAGGCTCAAATGACTGCCGTAGCCCACTAAACAAGACTACTCCCTTCTAGTGAGTCTGGTGAAGTGCTGTACACCACCCCAAGTTCAACTTGAGGTACGCCTAAATGCCAGCAGCGGGGGAACGTCAGTCAGGACTGCCTTCACCAGAGGAGAGGTCTCTGCAGTTCTACCTTAGCAGCAGAGGAGGGAACCACATTTTCATCAGAGAAAAGAGCAGTGAAAAGGGAAAGCCCAAAGGCTTGCACTAGGTGAACCACCACAAAGAGAAACAAGATGTCAGAATGAAGGGACAGAGCAGAACCTGAGGCATTGTGGTCAAGGGAGGGAGCAACAAGCAAGGGTAAAGAACTCCCTGCAGGTGTGATTGCAGCAGAAGCAGGGAAGGAAGGAGCATGGACCCACCTAGCCAGCCACCAGCCAGCAACCGGGAGGCACAGAGGAAGGGCCAGACTACTAGCAACTCAGCAGTTACCAGGACTTCAGGGCACTGTGTGGGACAAGAATCCAGGCAGCTCAGAGGACATATATTCTTCGGCAAATGGGGAAGAAAGTAACACAAAAAGGATCTAGAATTTGATGCACCCCTGAGCTAGGCACTGTACCTATTGATGTATGTACACATGCTTAAATCCTATTTAGTCTTCAAAGCGAGGTAGATGGTACTGGACTCACTCAACAGAGAAGAAAAGCACAGTTTACTCCAAGTCAGGGCCATAGTGAGGATCTTAATGTAAACCTATTCAGTCTTCACCTGGGTCCTGTGCTATATCCAGGGTGTTTGGTTAGAAACTTTGGGAGGACAGTCCTGCACATTCACAAAGTGCACAGAGGACACAGCTCTCTTTCCCCAGCCTGCCTGAGCAGCACCGCCCTTAGAACAGAGCACATCACATCCACACAGAAGATAGAGATGGCCGAGAGCCCAGCTGTACCGTGAGAGAGGAAGGTTCTCCGGGCCCCCGTTACACTGTCTGCAGTGAGTTCAGAACCCAGCTCTATGCACACTGACTATCTGCTCCAAATAACACAACACCCACAGGTTCTCTCACAAGTCTGAGCCTTGCATCAGACTGACCCCCTGTGCTCTGGGTGCTTCACTCCCAGCACAGAGATCAGCTCTGTCACCGCCACCAACTTCACCCACTCTCTCTGAAACCGTCTTTGTTATACAGCTGACTTGATCACCAGGTCTGGCCACAGCCTCTTCTGGAGGTCTTTTATAAAAATCCAGGCTAGGGCATGTTCCTACTACAGTCTGAATGCTACAAGGCAAAGGGTGGTCCAGGTTGTTGCTATGGCCATTTCCCAGCACAGGGCTGAACTCTGGATGCTGGCAGTGACGCTGAATGACGGCAGGAAGGCTCGCCGTGTAGACGTTAATCTGGAAGATGATTTCAACAATCGCACAAAAACTGAAACCTAGTTACCTAGTCCAAGTGATCCAATTTTCTCACTGACCAATTTCAGATCCTTCAGGACCGTGCTTCCTCTTTTACCTGCAGGCAGGAAAAAGGACTTGCGTGAATGGAACTCAGAGCGACATTCTCTAAGCCATGCCAACTTTCTCTCAGATGAGACATCTATATCCCTAAGAGTACAGAAAACCCTAGAATAGAACTATGATCAATAGAGGACAGAATCATGTGCTATCATTCCTGGAGTATTTTTTTTTTTTTTTGGTAAAAAGCAAAGGATTCCTGTGTTATAGAGAGAAACCAGATTATATCATTCCTTATTAAAACATAACCACCAAAATAAAAACGTACACAAGCCCAGGGCTATGAACTCCCAGTGGATCTACTTCAGGAAGTTCTGCTGATGTTCTGAACACGTACTGCTGGCTAAACACCAGCTGGCTATGATAGGGTGATGTCCACATTTGCTCCTTAAATCCTCAGAAATATTGTCCCAGTGATGTAGGTGGGTTTTCTATCTATCCGTTGCTTTCATTGGTTAATTAATAAAGAAAACTGCCTTGGCCCTTTGATAGGACAGAAAGTTAGGTAGGCAGAGTAGACAGAACAGAATGCTGGGAGAAAGAAGCAGATTCAGGCAGACGCAATAGCCCTCCTCTCCAAGATGGACACAGGTTAAGATCCTTCCCCGTAAGCCACCACCTCGTGGTGCTACACTCATTAATAGAAATGGGTTAATCAAGATATGAGAGTTAGCCAGTAAGAGGCTAGAGCTAATGGGCCAGGCAGTGTTTAAAAGAATACAGTTTCCATGTAATTATTTTGGGTAAAGCTAGCCGGTGGCTGGGAGCCCTCCCAGGTGGCGGGAAGTGGCCCGCTGCTCCTTCTACATCCCTGGGTGGGGATAGGCTCGGTTGGGAAGGGACAGGACAGCACAGTTTAAGTAGCTTGCTACCCTCCGCCTGGCTTGCAATCTCTCTTCTTTGTGCATACAAAGAGTCTAACACAAGCTCCGATGATAGAGTGATTATGACAATGGCTCTATCATAGAACTTCTTTAAACACTAAGTTATTCTATGGGTCCATGAGACACGACCTACAAGTTACAAATGTCCTGTCTCGGAACGGCACAGCACCTAACACCCATCCTAGGCTGACAATGTTCCAATCAAAACTCTTCTGGAGATGCCTCACCTACGAGCCATCCCAGTCCAGCAGCATGCTGGGGACGTGTTACCTTCCCCAGTGACCAGTATGTTGATAAAACAGAGGCACAGGCATACTGCAGCCACAGAAAAGTCAAACCAAATTTTGATGTATATCACTTCAGTATAAAATCTTTTTTTTTTTTGGATTTTTTGAGACAGGGTTTCTCCGTAGCTTTTGGTTCCTGTCCTGGAACTAGCTCTTGTAGACCAGGCTGGCCTCGAACTCACAGAGATCCACCCTGCCTCTGCCTCCCGAGTGCTGGGATTAAAGGCGTGCGCCCCCACCGCCCGGCTCAGTATAAAATCTTAAAATTATATATGTATACTATTCATAGTCTAAACCATTTAAAAGGTCAGTTTCCTAAAGATATTTCGATAGTATAGCAAAGGAGAATACAAAATGGTGGAGAACACTGACTACATTAAGAAATGAAGAGAACAGCACACTATTGTATATATCTTATTAAAATATTGTGTATCTTATTAAAATACTGTATATCTTATTAAAATTAGGATTTTCTACAATCAACCGACACTAATCCTATCACATGTAATGGCCAGATTTTTTTTGTCACTCTGACATAAGCTCGTCATCTAGGAAGACTAAACAGTCAACTAGCCTGTAGGGTAAGGCTGTGGGACATTTTCTTGATTAATGGTTGATGTAGCAGGGCCCAGTTCCCTGTGAGCAGTGCCACACCTGGACAGGTGGGACTAGGTTATATCAAAAAGCAAGCCCTGGGGAGTAAGCCAGTAAGCAGTGTTCCTCCACGGCTTGGCCTGTCTCAGTTCCTGCCGAGTCCCCTTTGTGAAGAACTACAAGTGTAAGCTGAAATAATCCCATTTTTCCTCAACTGACTTTTGGTCATGGTATATTATCACAGCAATGCACACCATGCTTATCTGGAAACAACAAAACAAACAACAACAACAAACCTGGAGTATCAAATACTCACTCTCCGCGGCATCTGTTAATGAAGGGGCACCTGCCAGGGAGCTCAGACCGCTCCTTAGGGGGGGTATGTCAGAAAGTGAGGCCAGACTCCCCACTTGCTTCCTAGGTTCACTTCTCCTAACAGGAAGCAATCGACAGTTAAATGACAATTTCAGACCTTTTCACTGTAGTCTTAGTCTGTAAACATAAACAAGCAATGTAAAGCACTTATATATTCATGTAGTGGCTGGAAATGAAGATTTCACAGATCAGCCATAAAGCCTACCTATGGGACAATACAGAATACAGACATCTGTGGTCCAGCACACACACTGCTCAGAAGCTGCAGAGTCCTCTGACTGTGAGGGGCTTCTCATCAACTTCATGCATTCCAGTCAGCTCGCTCCTAACTTCCTAGGCACTGCCATCAGGGCCTACACTGGCCACCCTCTCCATTCTGCTGACAACTCCCTGGAGTCCACCACAAGGCATCACTCCAGGAATGCTCTGTTACATTATTCTAACTCTGGGTGTTTCCTTACACTAACATGCACGCACACTAGCAAGCACACATGCACAAACTGAAACCCTGAAGCAGCTCCTATCACATGGCGGACACCTGATAATAGGCTCATCTGGTGAAAATGGTTCATACCTGATGCCTTCAATAATCCTGGCATTATATAACATACTAAGTTTCACTGACACAAAATCAGATTTCTGGATTCAATAATTATATAGTTATCAGATCATTAGTTTCAAAATATAGAAATTTTGTTTTTAAACCATAAGTCAGATGATCCGAAGAAGTTTACTCACCAACCGTATGTTTTTTCTGGCTTGGGAATGGGATCATCAAAGAAAGAATCTCCTTCTGCATCGTCTTCATCTGGACAAAGAGCACTTCTGTCTTTGGTGTCTTGAGTGCTGCTGCTCAGGAAGGATGCAATTCTCGTCTCGGGGGCCAGCGAGTGCAGGCTGCTCCTGCTCTTTGGCTCTGACAAGGAGACACTGGTCTCACTGCTGGTCTTCTAAGAAAGAGGGAGGGACAGGTCTCCGTGGTGATAAACTTCTAAGATATGATAAACAACAGCCACCGCAGCGGTGTGTGCGCACATGTGTCTATGTGTGGGTGTGTATCTGAGTGTGTGCACGCCTGTGTCTATGTGTGGGTGTGTATCTGAGTGTGCGCACGCCTGTGTCTATGTGTGGGTGTGTATCTGAGTGTGCGCACGCCTGTGTCTATGTGTGGGTGTGTATCTGAGTGTGTGCACGCCTGTGTCTATGTGTGGGTGTGTATCTGAGTGTGCGCACATGTGTCTATGTGTGGGTGTGTATCTGAGTGTGCGCACATGTGTCTATGTGTGGGTGTGTATCTGAGTGTGCGCACATGTGTCTATGTGTGGCTGTGTATCTGAGTGTGTGCACATGTGTCTATGTGTGGGTGTGTATCTGAGTGTGTCACGCCTGTGTCTATGTGTGGGTGTGTATCTGAGTGTGTGCACATGTGTCTATGTGTGAGTGTGTATCTGAGTGTGTGCACGCCTGTGTCTATGTGTGGGTGTGTATCTGAGTGTGTCACGCCTGTGTCTGTGTGGGTGTGTATCTGAGTGTGTGCACATGTGTCTATGTGTGGGTGTGTATCTGAGTGTGTGCACATGTGTCTATGTGTGGGTGTGTATCTGAGTGTGTGCACATGTGTCTATGTGTGGGTGTGTATCTGAGTGTGCGCACATGTGTCTATGTGTGGGTGTGTATCTGAGTGTGTGCACGCCTGTGTCTATGTGTGGGTGTGTATCTGAGTGTGTGCACATGTGTCTATGTGTCGGTGTGTATCTGAGTGTGCGCACATGTGTCTATGTGTGGGTGTGTATCTGAGTGTGTGCACGCCTGTGTCTATGTGTGGGTGTGTATCTGAGTGCGCACATGTGTCTATGTGTGGGTGTGTATCTGAGTGTGTGCACGCCTGTGTCTATGTGTGGGTGTGTATCTGAGTGTGTCACGCCTGTGTCTATGTGTGGGTGTGTATCTGAGTGTGTCACGCCTGTGTCTATGTGTGGGTGTGTATCTGAGTGTGCGCACATGTGTCTATGTGTGGGTGTGTATCTGAGTGTGTGCATACCTGTGTCTATGTGTGGGTGTGTATCTGAGTGTGCGCACATGTGTCTATGTGTGGGTGTGTATCTGAGTGTGTGTCACACCTGTGTCTATGTGTGGGTGTGTATCTGAGTGTGCGCACATGTGTCTATGTGTGGGTGTGTATCTGAGTGTGTGCACGCCTGTGTCTATGTGTGGGTGTGTATCTGAGTGTGTCACGCCTGTGTCTATGTGTGGGTGTGTATCTGAGTGTGTGCACATGTGTCTATGTGTGGGTGTGTATCTGAGTGTGTGCACGCCTGTGTCTATGTGTGGGTGTGTATCTGAGTGTGTGCACATGTGTCTATGTGTGGGTGTGTATCTGAGTGTGCGCACATGTGTCTATGTGTGGGTGTGTATCTGAGTGTGTGCACGCCTGTGTCTATGTGTGGGTGTGTATCTGAGTGTGTCACGCCTGTGTCTATGTGTGGGTGTGTATCTGAGTGTGTGCACATGTGTCTATGTGTGGGTGTGTATCTGAGTGTGTGCACATGTGTCTATGTGTGGGTGTGTATCTGAGTGTGTGTCACACCTGTGTCTATGTGTGGGTGTGTATCTGAGTGTGCGCACATGTGTCTATGTGTGGGTGTGTATCTGAGTGTGTGCACGCCTGTGTCTATGTGTGGGTGTGTATCTGAGTGTGTCACGCCTGTGTCTATGTGTGGGTGTGTATCTGAGTGTGTGCACATGTGTCTATGTGTGGGTGTGTATCTGAGTGTGTGCACATGTGTCTATGTGTGGGTGTGTATCTGAGTGTGTGCACATGTGTCTATGTGTGGGTGTGTATCTGAGTGTGCGCACATGTGTCTATGTGTGGGTGTGTATCTGAGTGTGTGCACGCCTGTGTCTATGTGTGGGTGTGTATCTGAGTGTGCGCACATGTGTCTATGTGTGGGTGTGTATCTGAGTGTGCGCACATGTGTCTATGTGTGGGTGTGTATCTGAGTGTGTGCACGCCTGTGTCTATGTGTGGGTGTGTATCTGTGTGCGCACATGTGTCTATGTGTGGGTGTGTATCTGAGTGTGTGCACGCCTGTGTCTATGTGTGGGTGTGTATCTGAGTGTGTCACGCCTGTGTCTATGTGTGGGTGTGTATCTGAGTGTGTCACGCCTGTGTCTATGTGTGGGTGTGTATCTGAGTGTGCGCACATGTGTCTATGTGTGGGTGTGTATCTGAGTGTGTCACGCCTGTGTCTATGTGTGGGTGTGTATCTGAGTGTGTGCACATGTGTCTATGTGTGGGTGTGTATCTGAGTGTGTGCACATGTGTCTATGTGTGGGTGTGTATCTGAGTGTGCGCACATGTGTCTATGTGTGGGTGTGTATCTGAGTGTGCGCACATGTGTCTATGTGTGGGTGTGTATCTGAGTGTGTGCACGCCTGTGTCTATGTGTGGGTGTGTATCTGAGTGTGTGCATACCTGTGTCTATGTGTGGGTGTGTATCTGAGTGTGCGCACATGTGTCTATGTGTGGGTGTGTATCTGAGTGTGTGTCACACCTGTGTCTATGTGTGGGTGTGTATCTGAGTGTGCGCACATGTGTCTATGTGTGGGTGTGTATCTGAGTGTGCGCACATGTGTCTATGTGTGGGTGTGTATCTGAGTGTGTGCACATGTGTCTATGTGTGGGTGTGTATCTGAGTGTGTGCACATATGTCTATGTGTGGGTGTGTTTCTGAGTGTGCGCACATGTGTCTATGTGTGGGTGTGTATCTGAGTGTGTGCACATGTGTCTATGTGTGGGTGTGTATCTGAGTGTGCGCACATGTGTCTATGTGTGGGTGTGTATCTGAGTGTGTGCACATGTGTCTATGTGTGGGTGTGTATCTGAGTGTGCGCACATGTGTCTATGTGTGGGTGTGTATCTGAGTGTGTGCACGCCTGTGTCTATGTGTGGGTGTGCATCTGAGTGTGCGCACATGTGTCTATGTGTGGGTGTGTATCTGAGTGTGCGCACATGTGTCTATGTGTGGGTGTGTATCTGAGTGTGCACGCCTGTGTCTATGTGTGGGTGTGTATCTGAGTGTGCGCACATGTGTCTATGTGTGGGTGTGTATCTGAGTGTGCACGCCTGTGTCTATGTGTGGGTGTGTATCTGATTGTGCGCACATGTGTCTATGTGTGGGTGTGTATCTGAGTGTGCACGCCTGTGTCTATGTGTGGGTGTGTATCTGAGTGTGTGCACGCCTGTGTCTGCCCTTTAGCAGCAGGAACGGCAGTGTAGTCCTATGCTTTCCCACTTTATCCCCGGGCTTCCTGACATGGGCAACTTTCCAATGACAAAATGTTAAAGCAGACGTTCACACTGTTTCTTCTAACTGAAAACACTTTACTGTGCCTACCCGGGTGTTCAGCAATGCTCCCATTTATAAACAGCGTCCTCTTTCCATCCTATGTCACTGCTGCATAAAATATCTTTTAAATTCTTTTTTTAAAAATATTTATTTATTATGTATACAATATTCTGTCTGTGTATGCCTGAAGGCCAGAAGAGGGTGCCAGACCTCTTTACAGATGGTTGTGAGCCACCATGTGGTTGCCGGGAATTGAACTCAGGACCTTTGGAAGAGCAGGCAATGCTCTTAACCACTGAGCCATCTCTCCAGCCCTGCATAAAATATCTTAACACATTTCAACTTCAAACCAGGAGAGAGCACTAAAGTTATGACTATGTCATAAAAATCACCTAAACTGCACTATTCGTCAAGAGACAGCAGTTTTCTACCCAGCACCAATGACAGCCTCAAGGGGAAATGCGCAGCCTTCGAATGCTCACGTTTCCAACAAGCAGATGCTGACTGTAACAGTGACCTTAATTCAGGTTTGCTGGGCTACTTATTAACCTGTACTTCCTGTAATATCCACAAGCAGGCACATAAATCTTCTATGTATCTTCAACCAAGGCTGAAAACAAACACACTTCCATTCCGGTTCCACTGACACAGAGCCAAGGCTAGCAGGAGCTATCTCGGTGACTGGTTTACTTTGACCACCACAGTACAGTTTTAGCCTATACCTGGTCTGGTCTTTTTTTCCCCCCTTTTTTGGAGACAGGGTTTCTCTGTGTAGCTCTGGCTGTCCTGAACTCACTCTGTAGACCAGGCTGACCTCGAACTCACAGAGATCCACCTGCCTCTGCCTCCCTGAGTGCTGGGATTAAAGGTGTGTACCACTATTGCCTGGTTTTATCTATTTCAATAACAAAAATAATGCCAGTGTAACAGCAGTGGCTAACAATTGTGGAGAATACGCAAATGCTTCAAGTGTTGTGCCTCACTCAATCTTTAGACCACGCATATAAGATGTGCTATCTGTACGGATTCTAAAAAGGAACGCAAAGGCAATTTATTTAACTTGTTAAGACCCCAGGTCAGCTAAATAGTAAAATGAGGATCAGATTAGCTCTCCCTTTTTGAGACAAGGACTCACACAACACAGGTGGCTTTGAAGTTGCTGTACAGCTGAGGATGACCTTGAGCAGATTTCCTTGCCTCTTGCCTCCCAATGGCTGGGATTACAGGAGTTTGCCACCACATCCAGCCAAGGTTAGTTCTTAATACTCGGGTAATACCATTAGGTCGAGTTATATGAAACTGCATTTGGTGTGGATTGAAAGGACAATTCCAAAGGGCTGACCTTATATACTATAGAGTGTAATATCATAAAGACCCCTGTGCTGCTCCAGAAAAAGCAGTCACCTAAAATAAGGAATCTGGAAAGTGCCTGTCCTGGGTCATTAACTGTGTGATCTTAGGGAATGCTTTCAGACATGAATTTCGTCAAGAATTAAATTAGTCAGTATGTATACCGTAAATTACAAACAGGCTGGGACAGAGCAGATTAGCAGCAAGGTAAGAAGCTGGGCTATGCAGAAGTGGAGTAGACTAACACAAAA